GATCAATAAGAGATCTTTTACAAAATTTCCGCCTACTATTTTTCAACGCTCGCATTACCATTAAGTATAATAAAATCTCCTGTAACAAAGCAAGCAAGTTGAGAATTGATTAATCGCTAGGAAGTAAACAACAGAAGATTGTGATTCCAAACAGTCACAATGAGAAGCTAGTGGGTCTGCTTCATGAAACTGCCCCCGTGTTTGCGTTTGAAGAATTTTTTAGCACCTAAGGTTAGGACCAGGATCCACACCAAGCTGTCTACAATAGTCTCTATAGTACCCAATCCTTGCGTTGACCGCACCTGGATTCCCACCTTTACATTCCATTCCATTGATGGCTTTTATGGTGGCTCCAAATCCTTCGTTCAGTACCGGCCTTACGCTATTAACCCAAAACAACAAACCCTTACTGAAAGCTATAGTTGGGTTGCTACCCACAAGCTCAGGCTGGCGTAAAAGGTCGAGATTGAGACTCAGACCACGACTGAAGTGACCTTTGCTCGGACATGGCCTTTGCTCTACGTTCTCGTCGCATCTGCCACGTGACCTTTTCTTTGTTTCTTCTATGTAGCATAAGTCTATACGATACATAGAGATGTCACATGAAAAAAAAAATTATTTATAATCAGCTCAATTAATTGAGATCAAGTCAAATGTTCAGTTTTTACATGTTTAATTTTAACGTTCTATAATAATATTGCTTAATATCAAATAATAAAACATCCCAACCCTTAGGTTTTGAGTATAATTTACTCATTTATTTGGGGTTTAATGAAAGTTCCCAAGTTAGAATCAATAAAGAATTTCATGACTAGAGTAAATGTACAAACAAAAAAAAATAATTTTTTAATAATATATGACCAACGTAGAGAAAAGGAAGAAAAAATTCTTACGTCCAGTCTCGTGAGTGACATGAGCAAACATGGTAGCGATTTCACGTCTAGTAACGGAATTAGCAAAGTTGGGAAAAGTATTTGCAGCGTAAATGAAAGAGTTGCGGGTGTAGAATTTTTTTACCGTGCAGCCTTTACCAGCTTGGTTGATAATGTTGTTAAAAAAATCTGGTGTCACAATGCTTTTGACCGATCCACCATCTCTTGGATTTCCATCGCCTCTACAAGGACCTAAGAGGCAAAGGAAAAGGACCAAGGAAATTTTTGTGAAATCCATGTTTTGGTTATTGTTTGTGAATGATGAGAAGGAAGAGGTTGTGTTATACATATAGGGAGAGTTGTTGGGTAGTTTGGTCATTTGCATATTGGCATATGGTAGAAGTAATGAAATGTTTTTCTTTATAATATATAATTTTATAATGTATACTTGTTTATGTGGTATCTTTGGTCGTATTCAATCACGGGAGATT